TGAACAAGAGCTGTAAGTTTGAAAGAGTTCTGCAGGAGGTCACAAATTGCAATTTCATTTTTAATCAGTCATAAGATTACTGAATCTTGTGTTGTCTTGTCATCCTGGGGAAATTGCTGAGGTTCTGTGAAACCTCCCTGTGCTTAGATCTTTGTGGATGGTGCCTTCGTGCAACCCTACAGTATTACAGATGAAGAGTATGCCTTCCTGAGCTGCTGAGGAAGAGGGGTCTGCAGACCAGTGATCCCAAACCGAACTGTAAGAGCCCATCCATTAGTTATTTACAGTCAAGGCAGAGGAGGCTGAGGAGCGTTGCTGAGGCAGATGATGTGTGGTAGGCAGTTTCCCAGCTGCTACCTGTGTGGCACTCTTATCCATGACAAGAATTCCAGTGATGTCTTAATTCAGTTCCCATTTCCAGCCATTGTGAATGCACAAAGGGCTTCCCATCTAGGATTCCTACTTGTCCTTCTGCACATAGGAAATGTCACATGAGATGTGATGGGTATATGCATCAGCCTGTTCATGGTTGCTTCGCAGCTGACTTTGCCTCCTCAGTCCCAATTTTCATTTGACATTCATAATGAGTGCCTGGAATAATTAAAAACTGAACCCAGCCCAAGGAGCCAACTGGAAGTTACTGGTGATGTTTGTCCCTAAACTGGGATATTCTTACAGAAGGTACCTTTGATCCTGTGGGTTACCTTGCTATTCTCTGCCAATTCCCCATCTGCTTGAGGTTTTTATTTTACCACTCTTTTCTAGTGTATGGCATTTTTTCATATTTTTTCTTCTTGCTTTCTTTTCTGTGTCCTCTCCATTCTTGTGGCTTTTCATACTTTCCTCATACTTTTGGCTCTGAGGTTAGCATGATGAAAGATTACTTTCCCTGCTTTCCCTGGCTACTTTGTCAATACTCTGCCTGCTTCTCGCAAATGCAGCTGGAGTTGCTCTGGGAGACTTAATGTCCTTGTTCGCGCTTGGAAAAGGAGACTGGTCAGTTGCAAGCTTCCGGTGACAGCAGGAGCTCTCTTTGAGGTCCTTCCCTCTTGCTCTAAGTGTACAGAGATGAAAGTCCGAGGCCTCATGAAATTTCCTCATCTCTACTGGTGAGCTGGTCGATGGGCAGAGTGGGAAGTGCTCACAGATGCCAGTGAGGGGCTAGTCTGTGCATGCAGAACCTATAGGGACGAACTGTTGCCTAGTTGTGCTATTGGCATTAGTATCTGGGTGACAGAGTGGTCTGGACAAGCTGCTGGCTCCTTCCGAGCATTCACATGTCCTGTGGTGTAAGGGCTGTGACTTCTGAGAAACCACAGCTGTTGGCTCTGTGCCGATAGCCTGCCAGCTTAGCCAGGAGGAAATGGATGATAGAGCGAGCTGTGTGCTGTACAACAGCAGGTCAAAATAACTGGGTGCTTCGTATTAGTTTCTAAAGCTGCTAAATGGCTCGTGAAGCACATGGCCATGCCTGTTTTCCCTGAGCTTTTCCCAGGGCTGGGTTTCTGCAGGGCAGCTGTGCGAGGAGCCTGGCAGGGCAGGTGAGAAGGGGCTGGCATGGGGCTGCTAGCTGTAGCTCAGCTACTGGTGCTTCCTGGAGGGGGGCACGTTCTTCAAGGGGAAATGTGGTTGGGTTTCTTGGACCGCATCTCCACCCCTTGCTGCTGTATCTCACAGTATTTCACAGGCTGTCAAGTGTGGCCTGAGGTAGTCTTCATTTAAAGGGGAACAGAAAGGCCCTCCAGTGAGGGTGCAGCTGTTTATAAGCACAAGCTGTTGACCTACAGCAGCTGCTCATGGAGAAACTCAATTCAGGTGGTCACTTAACTTTCTAATGAGTCTGTTGATCTCCTCAGTGAAGGCCTCTCTAGCCTGGATATTATTACAATGATATAATTGCTGAATCTGTATGTGCAAATGGATTGTCATTACTCAAGTATCTCAGTGAGTGGGAAGCCTGATCTAATAACACATCCCTTTAGAGCATGGGTATTATCGAATGTAATGGGATGGTTTCCTCTCCCAATGCTTGCATTTCACAAGTCAGTAGCACGTGACTGGAACTTGGGAGATGACCATATTGCGAGATGAAGTATCACTTCACTGCTTATGTGGGAAGTTGGTAATTTGCAATTTCAGGATTTTCTGAATGAAAACACAGATGAATAATTTATACTTGAAACTCGGAGTGCCTGTTCCATCAGCTGTTAATCCAATTACTGATTAACATTGCTTGCTTCTTCCTGTATTACCTAACAGCTCTGTTCTTCCATATGACCTTTGGGCAGTCAACTCTGTTACAAGAATGCGGAAGTGCAAGACAGGATCAGGCAATGCCAGAATTTCTTAAAAGCTCAAGTTATTTTTTATCTGGTAATTTGTTTCTAGTATCAAATAACATCAGTAAAGCAGAGAGATTAGGGGCTTGTTCTTTCCTTGCTCCCCTCTTATACTTGCTTACTGTAGATGCTGTAGCTGAGAGGTTTCATTTTCCTCTGAAATAGACCATATGTTGGGCAAGAGAGGTACAAATGACCACACTAATGGTTCCATATTGAGGTGGGGATGATGTCCCTAGTGTCCGGATGCTGCCAAGTGTCAGCTTGTGCATGTGTTGCAGGAACATTATTGCCTTGCTGTAATTTGGTCATCACTGGCTCTCTCTTATCAGTGGTGATCTTTTTCTTTCTGATTGAGTCATACTGGAAATAACCAACAAAGATTACAGAGACACTTTTCTAGTAACCATGGCGCCTCCTCCTCTTCCCCAAAAGACGTGGTGTCTTGCTCTTTGAATGCCTGATGTGATAGCTATCATGTAAGGGAAGAATGTGGGACTTGTGGTTTATTTTCTGCTGTGCAGCCTGGCAGACCCAGGTGGAAGCAGTCCACCTTTCCTTAAGTGAAGAGTTCCCAGAACTGGGGTCTGGCTCTTGCAGCTGATAACTCTGGACAGTATCAATTGAAATAATGAGTCAAGAAATGTTTGTCTCAGTCTGTTTTCTGTGACTCTTAGTACCACTGTCTGAAAATCCAAAAGACCCCCTTCAGTACATAGCCTTATGTCAAAGTAGTTTCTTAGTCAAATCTGCAAATTTGTGTTGGTGCAGTATTAAAATCTATTTGATAAATTACATATACTGTTCTAGGCTTTTTTAAGAAATGTTAATGTTGGTGGTAATGCCTTACTTGAACTTTACAGAGCTGCAGATTTTTGTCTCTGCTTTTTCTACAGCAAACATTAAAGCAACAATCTACTTGTACTCATGTGAGTAGGCTTACTTGCCATGTGGAGTGATTCATATACTTAGTTAAGCATGTGAGCACCACTATTTGTGAAAAAACTTCAGCTGAATGATTTGCTAAAATTTTGTGGTTTAAAACCTGTCCCCTGAAAGCAAAGTTGCATTTATATAATTCAGAAAATCCCATTTAAGTCTATAGAAAACATACAAACAAAAAAATGTGCATGTGAAGGATTTCAAATATGGTAAATTTAAGTATTTGGTAATAATAATAGTAATGAAGAAGTCTAAATTTAAATTCCTGACTGATTGCTAGCTTCACTGTTTGAAACTAGCAGGACATGATGTCCTAATAGAAGCCTGCTTTAATAACTTTGACTCTCTTATTTTGTGAATACTTGATGTACCCAGAGGTTGGGGGATTCTGAGTAAAACCTGGGCTGTTGGCAGCTTCACTGTATGGATGCCAGAGGTTAGATAGTGCGATTGATCGCTTAGGGCTTTGTTATCGGAACTGAGCATTTTAAATAGAACATTTCTTACTAATGTAAAAGTTCTGCCAGTCCAAATCTGAGATTTCATCTAGTAGATATTTTTTACTGCTCTTTACAGATGTGGTTTACAGTAAGTAGTAAATAACAAATAACTCCGCAAATGTTGGCATAAATCCTTGACTGCTCCATGGTTTTCCAAGGTTTGGAAGATTTTGGCTATGGGAGATAGAGTTTTAAGAATTCATGCTAGACTTCTGACACGGGGAAGTCAGTGACTTTTGCCCCATGTTTTGGGAGACAGGGGGAAAAAAGGTGTGAATCATGTGAATCAAGAGGTAGAAACTAGATAAGAAAGCACTCTCTACTAGATATGAAATTGTCTGTTGTTTCTGTTCTCTAGTTGGGAAAAGTATTTCCTGGCAGGGGTAGGAGACCTGTAATCTGTTTTAATTCTTGCTAGTTTTTTTTTTGCAGCCAGTGATATCAGTTCAGTTTGTTATTTCATCAATACCCATGCTGTTACTGGGAA